TTACTGGCCCAGATATAACGTGTTTCTGAGCAAAGTGCTCCCATGTACAGGGGCGAATGGAAGGAGCTTCTGTTTTAAATGTAGATTTTTGCCACATGACCAAATTAATGCCTGCTCTAAGTATGATATGAACCACTTGATATCAGGCCTGTGTAGGTACAATGGGGAGCAACACGTGAGGTGACCTATATGGCGGGTGCGCAGGGACCAGTGCCGTGACCCGCTCGGGCTGGTCCCTTAGCTCCTCTGAGCTTCCATTTTATTTTCTCGGAGTGTTTGTAAGCCTGCTGGATTGGGTTGCTACTGGAACAAGTGAGGAAATGCCAACAGATCTTGGTAAAACTACAGTGTATCACAAAGAAGTTGGGAAATTTTATTATTATTACTATTATTATTATTATTATAGCAGGATTTCTGGGATGTAAACACTATTCCATTTGCTTTTTTTCAGTCTATGTGGAGAAGCAGCAAACACAAGACAAATTTAAAGCCAAATAAAACAGCACTTATAGAGGGCAAAGGAAAAGATAACAAGGAGCAGGGAGATCAAGCTTTGCAAATGGAATGGGGACGGAGCGGTGGACCGAGGGGCTGGGGAGGGGCAAAGCACTAATCTGTGCTTCATGCATGAACCAGCTCCCCATGATGGATGCAATCAGCATGTACCACAAGCACACACAAATAGAAATTGTTGCAAAGATATTTAGAATACATAGACACATGTTTTTAAAGAAGTGCCTCATTGGGGGCATCTCACAGCAATACTAATATCATGGTGAAACATTTTTGGGCCTGGAGTTCAGAAGAGGTAGACTCTAAGGGTGTAGCATCAGTCCTCAGAGACCCCGTGAATGTTTGACAGTGACCCCTCATGCTGTATGCCTCACTGGTCACACTTTTGGGAGGCTGGAATCAGCTGCGACGGACTGACCCTCTGTCCTGTCACACACTCTTTCCTCAATCTCCTCAAATCTCCATTTCTCACCTGTCAAATGCCCACAATGTCTTCCTCACATTTCTGTTGTGAAGACAGAAGGATAGGATATACCTGAAGAGGCTGCATAAATCGCAATGGCTTCTCGGGAGACCAAGTTACTTTGACAGTTCACTCAGGCTATTGAGATACCCTTTGAAGATGTCAGGATCTGCTTAGCGTGGGGGAAAAGGGTGCCAACAAGCATATGAATAGGATGGAAAGAATTTGGTTTAACTATATATTTCCCTGGTTTCTTTCTTCTATAGTTCAGTCTTGAGTTGGGTATCTTAATTACTGCTAAAAGGAGAGACTTCCAAGGAGAAAGTTTTCTAATAATGAATCCTTCCTGCATGTTATAAGAAACCGTGAACTGACAGCAAAATGCTCAATCTTTCCCCACCAGCTAACACCAGGCGTGTTCTCCCCACCCCTGCAACCATCCAGTGCATTCTTTGCCCTCACCCGGGCTCTCTGACAGTCCTGCTTGCCAGCCCTTGTCTAACCCACAGCTATGCAGGGCACGCGGGCTGGGCACACTCTCCCTCAGAGATTTCCCGGGAACCGTGCATTATTTATTTATTTTTTTCCAATTAAAAAATATACATGAATGAAACTTATTACTTTAGTGTGCCACAGACCACTATCATGAAGTTATGCATATTTTAAGGTGATGCTTTAGAAGGTTATCAAAAATTGATTTAAAAATCCCCAGCCATAGGAAGAGTTTCTTGCTATATTTCATAAAAATCACCACGGAAGACTTGAGTTTTCCTGGGCTGTCTTGTAAACAGGGGCTGTGCTATGTATTTCCTATATAATTTAGCACAGTGAAATTTTGTTCCTGGTCTCTTTTACCTATTCTTATCAGACAATGAAAACTTAAGCTTTATTTGAGAGAGACAAAGTGACGTGCATTTACTTCTGTGAACTTTAGGATATGGTTCTGCCCATGATAGCGACTCTATATATTTGCAGAATAAACTGATCCAACTATAGTGTCTCTTTTTATCTTAGTTGTGAGGATGCTTAGGGCTAAATGCAGTAATTGTAATGTCTGTGCCACTGATGGATTTATTTTCCTTAACAGTTTTGCCTTTATGTTTTTCATTTCTGTTTATACAACCTCATTGAACATATTTTAATTATAAGACATTGCAAATCCTTTTTGGAACCTGCTATAGGATATCATAAAACAAAATGCGTTTCATTTTTTAGATGATAAAAACACAAAATACTTGAAGCTCATGGATTTGAGCATCTGACAACTTGTAAAATTACGTATATTTATAGTGGAAAGATATGTTGCAGTTTTCTGAGCATGAGCAGATGCTCGGACAGAAAAGCAGCACAACCAGCAAGTGCCTGTCTGTGATGAAGACAAGCGAAATAGGCGAACCTCACTGTCTTTTCATTATATATGTAATATATGTGATGCATACATGATATATTTTTCAAGAACATGTGCAACTTTCAAGCAGCATAAAGCATTTGCTACTTTAAACTTCCAAGGAAGAAAGTTCGTTAACAGGCTGAAGCAATGGAGAGCCCAGGAAGCCCCAGCTTGGAGGATTTATGAGACGTGTGCTCTCTGCACCTTCTATGTGGACGGACCTGAGTCGAAGCGCATGCCTCACCCTGACGCACAGAGGGTGTCAGCAAAGGCTCCTCTAGAGCGTCGCTCAGCAGTCTCATCCCAGGGCCCTGAAACAGAGCTCCAAGGCCCTGCACTGAAGACTCAGTAGCACTTTTGGTTCCAATAGAGGAGAGGCTACAAAATGAAGAGCCACCTGAGGATGGGCAGACAAGTACTGGGCAGCAGATCTGACCAGCTCGCCATGTCCTGGGCGGACTGTATGCTGCGGCTGCGAGGATATTGGAATTTACTACTCTCCTGCAAGTTGGACGCATCCTAGTCTAATGTACGTGTCAGTTTTATTTGAGGAATTCAGGCATTGCTTAATTTTAAAAAATTTTGCAGTCTGTTCTCCGCTGGTCCTTGCTGTATTCTTTCTTCTAAATGATATTAAAAAGGAGACAGGAATTTATTTTAAGAGTTATTTTTCTTTAAAGATTCCCACTTTTACAGTAAGGAGCGAATGTTCTCATATTTATGGCTCTTAATGTCTGCTCAGTGGAACGAAGGCAGAGTGACTGGTAAGGGACCTAAAACTTGTGACATTAAGGACAGGTGAAGCAAAAGCCGGGCAGGGGAAGCTCGTTTCTCCCCTCTCGTGGAGAGTCCACGGATGCTCTCTCACGCCACGTGGCTGCGATGCTACGTTAGCTCCGAGGACTCAGAGAGCTTCCAGGATTCGGGCTGCGCAGTCCCTGTGTTCTCTCCTTGGGGAGCTTTCGGCTTGTTGGATATCAACAGAGAGAACAATGACACGCCACCTCGCCATTTTCCCCAAATTTGCATCCTAGAATCTGGTATATGCCAATACTACTGCAAGCTAAGGGAAGCTGAGGAATGTGTTATTTAAATAGTTTGTATAAAAGGGGGCATATTGTATTTTAACAAAACTACTAGTGAAGACAAAGCCATATAAAGTAAATTTTGGGGTAACGTTATGTATGCAAGCAATGTTTAACTGCAGTACTATAACACATGGGATACAGCAACGAGAGGATATGCTGAGGTTATACGCAAATACTGCCCCCGGTGACACGGGGACCTAAGCGACACCAGTAGCTGTGAAGGGCACCATGAAGCAATCGCCCACAGATTGACGTGAGGACAAATGCACGTCAGTGATGCACATTCTTTAAGATTTTAGTGTGAACGTAAGAGCCGTGAGGAGCTCCGGGCAGGAGATCCATGTGCTAGCCCTGCTCCTCCCGAGCCTGGACCACAGAGCTGCTTTTCCTGAACAAGCAGCTGTTGGGATCTCTCAGGATGCTCCGGCAATGAGGACAGCAGACCAGAGCCGAGGCTGTCCATGGATCACTGTTCACGGTCATTCCAGGCTCCCAGAATATTCAAAGTTTCAGTTCCATGTTGTGAAACATGGGGATAAAATATGAAAATTTACAAAGAGGGGATTTATGTTTTTTTCCAAATTTTGAGCTATCTGAGGTTTGTGTAAGTCGAACCTCTGGCTGACTCACAGCCTGTTTTCAATCCCATAGGAACTTTTCCTGTACAAGTGTGGGCAATACCCCTAATGCAAATGAAATCTTGGAAAGAATGAGTGGAAAGAATGAGTGGTAGTGTATATCGTGAAAGGCAGAAAAATCACTATTGACTGAAAATTAAGTGTGAATCTAGATTCAAGTGATTCATGCCTGAATAGAAAGTTCTGCTTCAAAACACTTCACATACCATTACCAACCTCAGTCTTACACAAAATTCCCACGAAACATAGTAGTCTGATAAAATTCCAATTGTATGTCCATACATTTTTCCCTCACTCTAGGAAAATCAAATTAGGGATGTATATTCTTCAAAACAAAATTGTGTAATTGCTAAAGATTATGTTTTTGTGTAATATTCTTTATAATTCTGCATGTCTGAGAAAATACATTTTAATTTCTAAATAAATTATAATAATTTATTTTTAAATAAATTATAAATACTTTTTAAACTTTGTGTCTAAATAGAGAGAGCCTCTAATACTACTTGTAAATATCCTCTCTAGCGTTTCAGAGACTAAGAAACTTTTTTACTATTCATTTTCTTCCAAAAGTTCAAATAAGAACATTTGCACTTATTCTAATGTACTGCTAAAAATGGCATTAACTTTCACTGATGCCCATTAATTTGATAAATGTTTTGTCATTTGTACCATTTGCACTGTCAAAACAAGTTAATTATAGCTTACTGACGTTTTTGACAATTGCTTTAACTTTGGAAACAAAAAAGTCTTATTTGTTTCAACAAAAATTTTGTTTTTGCCCTTTGAAAGAGGCAAGAGAATACCATCACATGCTAGGGGTTGTGCAGGGTTCAATTTAGCAAAAATGATAGCGACTCCGCTGGCCGCGTCGAAAAGTGCTCGTGTTTTACATGGAAAACACTACATACCTGCATAATCTGTTCTTGCATAACGTCCATCTTCAGACTTGGTAGTTGTAGTTGTATTATCTGTGGTGGAAAATTCACAATAAAGATTGATTGGCATTTACCTAAATATCTGCAGTTGGTTTCTTCCACATCATCTTCCCTGCAGTTAATTTTTTTCTACAACTAGGATTCCAAGAAATCTCTATAAAATACATCTAAGTTTCTAATGCTTGTTTCTATTAGATGGTAAACACTAGAAATGACGGCGGCTTTCTGAGCTTTGGGACAGCGGCAGCCTCTTAATTGTAACTGCAGCCAATTAAGGAAAGGAATTACAGGTCAAAATCCAAACATGTTTGTTCTGAACAAATCCAAAGCAGAACATTCTAGTACCGTACGTCCTGCTTGTAGAAGGGCACTTGAAATATTTCTGCTGCATCAATAAATACAAATGGAGTGACCTGCTTTTAATTTTGAGGTTTCTAATGAATTCTTAGAGTCTTTGTTGAAAGTGCTTTTGACGGTCTTTTTAGCCCTTGCAATGAGAATATCTACTCTCTTCTGAATACAGACTTCTGTGTTCACTGCAATGCAACAATACAGTCTCATTATGAAGAAAAAGATGTGGACTCCTTTGGATAGGCCCTCAAACACCTATAAGCAACCCAAATGCTACGGCAGACGCTGCTACTCATCGTAAATCAGAGCTGTCTTTGGGAAATGAATCAGCTGCATGATAAGGAGCTACCTTCACTTTCCATTTCTGCACAAGGACGGAAATTATCCTTTGAAATGAATTTTGGTGTGAACAGTACCTTGACATCGACCCAAAGACATGACTTCGATTTTCTCCTGTTTCTGACACGACGCTTCCTTGATCTGACACGCATTATCGTAAGACTTCCCATCCGAAGCACAGAGGGGGTTGAAGTTGGTGTGAGAACAGTCAATGTTGCACACACACCTTAGGGAAGAAAGAAACAAAGACACGTGACATCAGTAGTGCTGTTCCTACGTTGTGAGCCAAACACAAATGGGAGAACTGCTAGTTGGCAAGAGCGCAGCTCGGCAAACTTGAGTTGATTCTAGGCAAGTGGCTTCACTTTCCTACCTGAGATAAAAGGAATGCAGAACTAACCAAAAAAGAAAGATTCCAAGGACTAGGAATGGAAAGGGAAAACTTTGGCCCTGGAACCTTTGGGACATATGCGCTAACTTCCGGAGCGATGCCCGCAGACTTGGAGCAGCCTGGGGTGGTTGAGACCCTCTGGGTTCAGTCCTCTTCCATGCGCTCTTACTGTTGCTTCCCTTGAGGGACACTAGAGTGGATACAGCTGAAGGAAGACCACGCAGAGGTCAGTCACGAGAAAGCTAACAAGTACATTATTTAGAATGCAATCAAGAGTGAAGGCTCTGCAGCATAAGCAAGAGCTTTTGTAAAAAGTGCTAAGTGGGAATCTGCAGTGATCCTTAGCATCCCTGGATGTTGCAAAAGCTCTCGAGTGGCACGAAAGCTACAGAAGCCCTTCCTAGGGATGATCACACCCTGGAGACAACCATGTGTGTAACGGGAATTTGTTAAGCCCCTCAACATTATCGCTTCCTAAGGCAGCTCTCATTTTACAGGCTATAATTATTATAAGACAAACATATTTTAATAAAGGCTATTATAAAATAATAAATATATGAGTTGTCATTCAGGATTTTAATTTTTTTTAGTCTAAAAAACTTTTGGTGAATTAATGGGAACTGGGTCACCTCAACAAGCCATAAAAATTCAACATTTAAAAAAAAGTTTTGTATGATTTTTAATGTTCTTATAATTCTCTGTATTTTACAGTCTACTTTGTTATTCAGAACATTGTGCTTTTTTCAGTATGTGTGCAAACCTGCCACTGCCTGGGAATATGAACTCATATTTACAGTGTTTATTAATATTTATATTATTTTTATAAATAAAGTATATGCCTCTCCAAGTTGTGAATCACACATTTTAGTTATGCACATCTTCTACAGAGCTGGGCATGGAATACAAAGATGATAGCAACCAGCTGGCTCCTGGCTGGGCTCTTCACACGTGCTGGTTTATTTCATCCTCCCAGTGGCCATTTACTGACCAAGGTAATAGGTGAGATCAAAGAGCTAGCAGGCTGCAAGGAAGGACTGACCGGTGGACACGTCACGCCCGAGCCCACCTCCTCCTGTACTCCACAGGCCTGAGTTAAGAGCATCCCGCAGCACTGCAAAAGGTGCAGTTCGTGAGCAGATCCCTGGGCCCGGTGAAGCTGGGGAGCTTGGGGGGTGCTCTCTGCAGGAGGTACTCTGGCAGCAGATCTGCTTCTCTGGGATCACTGCCTGGCGGGTTCGTTCAGAAGAGGGGGGTCTGCCTACACATCAGTGCGCCCCAGGGTGGGGTCCTGATGCCATCTGTGTTAGACTTGCCCAGGCACGCAAAAAACGCCAGCAGGACGTGCACCAGCATGAACCACACGGCAATGGCTTTAGACACTCTTGGCTATTTTGACATTCACCTGTTTAGGAACACCTCACTGGGGCTGATGCTAAGCACCCCAAAACGCTTCGCTCGCAGAGAGGCTGCACTCCTAAGGGCGCCCGCCATGACGCTGTGGCCAGGGCTGATTCTCGGCCTGCGGACTTCTGAGGCCTGGAGCTGCCTGTGTTCAAAGGCTTCTGCCGCTTCTTAGGGCAGATTAGGATGCGGGACTAGAGAGGGCGGCGCTGCCTTAGCTGTTTGTGATAAATGAAGAAGGGGTGGGGAGACTGGCTTTGCATTTTGGTGTTTTTTTGTTTTGGATAAAAGTGATTATTTTCCCTTCAAGCAAATTTAGCTTTTGGCTCAATATTTTGAAGAATCTTGAAAAATTATCTTTTATCAGTAGAAGTACAGAAAGAAAGGTATGCTGTTTCATCTACTTGAATAGTAAATGGGAATAATATTAAAGGTTTTGCAAATATCTACAAACTGAAAGAAATTTAGAAAATATTTTATATCTATATCTCTCTCTCTATATATATGTTATACTGGACAAAATGGCATTAGCCAAAAAATCACACTGTCATAATAAAATAATCAAATGTTAGAGTTGAGACAGGAGGAGAAAATTTGGTTGGATATAATTGGCCAGAATCAATCTTTCAGTGAAAAATTCACTTAATGAGGCACCAAATTAAATAATAGTTCAAGATATTTCACAAAAGCTTTCTTTGTAATTGGCTGCTGTCTTTTCTTCTTCTAGTGTGAGTGAGTTGAGTTTAGTTCTATGGATTTGGGCCTGTATCTTTTGTCTTCTGCTTTCCTACTATTACTTGTTCAGGATTTCCTTTTAAGATCTGTTACCCTTTTGGAAATTCCTAGGTCTTGCTATCTCCAATAAAACCTTTCAGGGAAAAGCTAAGAAAATGGGGTAGATAGGTGGGATTTTTATTCTTATCTGGAAAGGAGGATGTACGCTCCCTCGAGTAGATGTAGATTTTCTGAATCCTACATTCTGGTCGTTTAATAACTTCTGAATGAACTCCTGGGATACAGACTTCCCACGAGCACGGGCAGGCTGCGCTCTTCCCCTGTTTACCTTCGATACCTCCCTCTTCCTGTTCTGCTCACTGGTCTTGCACATGTTGCATAATAGAAAAGTGAATTTGAAAAAAGGACTCTTCTACATCTTAGCAATCACTGAGCACCAGAAATCTCGGGGACTATTTTTGTCTTCTAAATAACTGGAAGACACTTCCAAGATTTGCTTAAATAGTTTGAAAACTTCCTTGCTTGGAGAAGGGAGAGGCTGCACCTGGACCACCAAGGGTCTGCCATTTCTGCTTCTTCAGGCCACCAAGCTCTGATTATGTCATCATCACTTCTGATTGTCTGCATATCTGAGTCCACTAAATCTTGTTAATTAGAAAGATAGCCAGAGCTCCAAGAGCACGGCCTGAAGTCCTAAATTCATCCTGACCTCTCCTGGAGAATTATCTTAGCGTGCTCCACCCCAGCCAGCACTTTGGGAGTCTGTAAAGTTTCAGTAACTTCATGTTGAGTAGATAACTGAATGAAATGAATGGATATAGAAACCATTTTGTATTCCCTAAGAAAGGTAGCCACTGTTACTGTCTCCACATGAGAGATAAGAAAATTGGGTCTCGGTGAAGTCACATAGCCGGTCAGGGAAGAGCCTGATTTTACATCTAGGCGTTCTGACGCCAGAGATCACATTATCCCATGTATTGCGAGTCCAAGGCAAAACAACATAGACTTCTTTTTCCACCAACTGCTTAAAGGAATACTCTGGAGGACCAGCATTTGAAAAACAACACAAACATTACCTATTGTCTGTCTGTCTGTCTCTCTCTCTATTTTAGGACAGGGTCTAGAAGAACCACAGGGTCTCACTACGTAGATCTGACTCCTAGTGATTCTCCTGTTTTCAGCCTCCCAAGTGCTGGGGTCACAGGTGTGCGCCACCATGGCCAGTCTCAATCACTGTCTCAGTGTGCCCTGGGGGTGGGGCCAGCATGGCAGGCCTGGGATTGAACCCCGGCCCCTGTGTCTGCCTAAGCAGGCACTTTAGTCTGCTGAGCTATCAGGCTGGCCCCTATATTACCCATTGTTAATCACTTATATTCTGCTTGGAAATTCTGTATTACTGTTTTTTCTCTTTTTTTAAAGAGAACACACTACACCGTGACTGAGATGGCTACTGAGACTGGGCATGGTGGCGTGTGCCTGTAATCCCAGCGTTTGGGAGGCTGAAAACAGGAAGATCGCTACGAGTCCGATTTGTGAGGGAGACCCTGTAGACCCTGTACTAAATATATAAAAACAAACAAACAAACACAGCAGATGCTCTGCTTCCCCACACATCAGTATAAATACTGCTCCACCAATGATCAGCGAGTTGCGGTCCTGCCTCTCAGGTGCAGTAATCAATGGTGTCCCGGGGCCTGGTTCGTTCTTTCTTCTCTCATCTCTAAAATGGCTCACTAAACCCCTTTACCTCAGAGAACATTTTTTTCTGAGCTGAACGACACCCACAATAGGCAAAGAAAATAGTACCAACCCTTTCTGATCTGCACACCAGTGTTGAGGGGGAACAGCGGCTGCTTTCGCTGTCTAGCTATATCTTAAGATATTTGGATCTAGTTTTAGGTACTGATCTAGCTGGAATACTGTAGTAATCTGTCAGTTTATTGCTACTACCAATTGCTGAAAAATGCAGAGTGCCGATAGAAAGGTGACAGAATTTTCACAGGGCGGGATGGTGAGGTTGCAGGTGACGCTGCTTTAGCAGTTTATTCAAATTAATTTTGGGTTTTTTTTCCTACAGAAATGAAAGGCACACATTTTTAAAACAGAAACTACACTTTCTTCACTGCCTTTGGCAAGTGATTGCATTATTATTCATTGTGAGAGGAGTA